TGGGAGGACGTCCCAGACGCCCAGACGCTGCGTTAAAAAGGCAATGCGCTCTACAAGGAGGGCAAGCTTAACGAAGGTTAGCACTGCCCATGCAAATATGTTCTCTATGTACTGTATTAACTGTATATCAAGCCATCAAAATCTACCGACAAGCTGCCGAGCTAGCCTCCAAAGACGACTATCTGCCCTGGTCCAATCTCTCCGCGGCGCAGTTCGAGTGTGGAAACTACTTCGGGTGCACCTCGAGCGCGTTGCAGGCTTTGGTTAACGTCTATGAGCATGAAAGCAGCACCCGTAGTGACAAAACTGCTGTGGAGCGGAAGTTGGCTCCCCGTCTGATCAAGGCGTTTTTGCATGTGCACGAGTACAAAGATGCCAGGCACTGGCTTGATGTGTTGCAGTCGGAGTCTAAAGAGCCGCCGTCAGAAGAGATCTCGCTGTATCGCACTGCCATCGATCGTGCAGAAGCGGTCTGGGCGGCCTTTCCAGATGAGAAGACGCATCGGCTGCACCTGCTGAGGCATCTGCCTCGGTACCGGCCGGCATTGTGAGTGTAGTCTTGATACAGCCTCCTGTCATCCTGTCGTCCTCGCCAGCGATTTGTGACTAATTCGAGGCACAGCTCTGGCTATCATGAATATTTCAATATCGGCCACGACGACATCAGCGACCTGATCCCCGTCGATGCCCTCGTCGACGATGTGGAATACGTCTCTGTCTTCCTCGGGGGCGTCGGCGATGCGCGCCATTTCTACGGCGCTCTCGCCTTCCTGGGCATTTCGGAACGGGTCCAAGTTGGCACCGCCCGGAAAGCTGGCGTACGCGAGTTTCGCGTGAACAAGAAGTACCATTTTACGCTGAACGACCGCAAAGCCGGGGCTCTGGCCCGGGACATGATCGTGTTCGCCCTGCTGGATGTGCTGGCCGTCGCGAAGGATATGCCGTCCTTCGAGCGACTGCAGCGGTATGCCGTCGTGTTCTACGTCTTCATCGGCGCCATCATGCCTCGGTTCGCGTTCGACCATCTCAACCGCGTGATTGACATGCTCGTCGAGAAGCAGGAGAGGAAAGACACCATCCTGCCGTGGCTGCGAATCTACGAGTCCGACCGGGCGGGGATTCTACGAGCGTTACGGTCGTGGAGAAGTGGCAGCCTCATTAGCCTGTTTTCGACGAGAGACGTGATTTCCCTGGCCCGGTCTCAGTTCAGGGAAGCGGGTGTGAAAGCGGCGAGCCTTTTTGGCTTCGATCCCCGTCGGGCGCCGTCTGGTTGCGAGAAGGAGTATGCCACTTATAAAGAAGCCCCCTTCCTGCTGCCTCCTCGACAAGTGTTGAAGGACCATGAGCCCGAGCTGCAGAGGCTCCTTGAGAGCGGTGCATCAGCGGACCGGCTCAGAGAGTACCTGAGCGAGCATTGGTGTGTGAACCCGACTCTGCTGGACGAGGACTGGATGGTGGAAGCCAGGGGCGAGTTGGACGTCGGCTATGACCCGTTCGAGCTCCCCAGGCGACTGCAGGCGCTTTTTATCGTGGAGGAGAAAGGCGCCCGTCAGCGGAAAAGGCTGTTCGACTATGCTGCGGACTTCTTCCAGATGGTCGTGCTGGGCCTCCGGCGAGTCCGGGATCGTCTCAGCGTGGAGCTGATCCTGGACGACCTCGCGGCGGCCATCGACGCTCTGCGACATGGGCTCATCGAGGGCCGCGACCGGGACGCTCCGACAACCTTTGACGTGGTCTACCTGTCGAACGTGCCAGACTATATCGGCGGCAGCTTCGTGACGTTCGTCTCGGGACTAAAGCTCCTGAACAACACGACGACAGCCAAGATCACGTCGACCTGTCTGCGGAATACGGGGATCTGGAAGTCCCAGGAGCAGTTTCACAGCGAATACATTATCGTCAATGACTTCAACACTCTCTTCAAGCTCACTCAAGCGCAGTTTGTCAAGCGTGACGAGTATGACACCTTGTTTCCCATGTCCGGATACATGGACTGGCGACGCGCGACGATGAAGAAGTTCCCGTACGAGTTCCCGGTGCCTCGCGCCGAGCTGAGCCGGTGGCTGTTTGCCCATTTCTTCAAGCTGGCTCTCCCCTGCAGCCGTGACCCTGACGACCACAATCTGGACCTGTTTCTGTTTCCGACGCTGAACCTGACCAATTTCTTCCGGCTGCTGATTCATCTCCACGAGATCGGATACCCGGCACACTGGCTGGCGGATGTTCTGGCCAAGATCCTGGAAAATCAGGTCGTCACGACGGCCCGGCCGCCCAGGACGCTGCCGTTGGAGGTGGACGAGGTGTCTCGTCGGCACCCGGCAGCGAAGCTGTCCACGGCGCCGTATATCCTGGAGATGACGACCCTGACGGTCCTGTTCCAGCGGATTCTACCGTTCTGCCCGATCACGACGGCCTCGCTGCCGTCTCCGGGCTCGATCTATTCATACAGCGTGCGGATGCGCACGGTCGACTTCCCCATGCACGGCGAGATGCAGGCCCTGGTTCTGATCTTCTTCCGAGTGCGTCTGCCCCCGCGCTGTCCGGGGACAGCGGACGACATCCACCGGTATCTCGACCCCTCGCCGGAAAAGGACAAAAGCTTCGAGACGCCCGCCATGAAGGAATTCCGCGAGTCGGGCAGCGTGGTCATCACGGCGCTGACCTGGAACGGGGTGGACGACCGCACGGCGACGATCTGGATGCGCGAGGACGTCATGGACCCGATGATCGAGGCGCGCGAGGACGACGAGTGGGTGTGCTGTCTGTGGCGGGTCGACGACTGGGCGCCTGTGTCGTCGGCGCCTGAGGGTGCGAAGATGGTCGTCAAGGGTGCGAGGTGGGGAGAGTTTTCATAGAAAAGATCTAGTATTTGGCTTGCGGCGTGTTTTTTCGCAATAGGACTCGTCATAGTCTTGCAAATACATGTGTTAAAGCATCAAAAATTCCTAATTATAACTCTGGATATATCTCTTAATAAATAATATATAGACTATTTACCCAACTTATGAAGAAGAAAAAAACACTGTGTGCAAAAAAAAAACGACAGGTCATGTTTTTATAATGCAAGTGATACGAATGAAGGTAAGAAAGAAATATTGTCATGAGAGGGCACATTATTCCTCGACTTACGGCTAGCTATTATTACTCTTTACCCTTTTCTCACGGCTACAATTCCCACTAACTATTATTAAATCATTTCTCTCTCATATTCACCTCAATTCTGAACTGGCTTGCTTCTACCTCTACTACCTCTGAAACCTGTCCCAAATCCGTAGTATCCGTATGTACAGGACGAAAAAAGATCCCCCAAGTATGTATGTACATACAGTACATCCATCTAAACGTCTCTCTATGTAGTTAGTACCCGTGCTGTACTGTATATGGTGATGTTGCCTGCTGTATTAGGGGTTGATTTCTTTTCTGACCAAAAATCGTCCTCGCTAGCTAGGGTATATATAGACCTTGGACACTCTCAGCGCGGCGTTGGTCGTCTTTCTTGGCTAGCTGGTTCCTGTTGACCGGCTTGGGGGCGGGCAGTCCCTGTTGAGGATACCCAGCAGGGCGATCTGGATGATGGCGCATCCAGTAAACCCGGCCTATCCACCACAGCCAAGTCAATACTGATCGAGTCATATATATATATATATATATGCTGCAGTCGATAATTACATACGATCGGCAAGTAAACCAGAGGAAATATCCGTAACATGCCGTATACTGCTTAGTCCATATCCCGGCGCGACTTGGAGGACACGTGCCACTTACCTACTCTGTCGGACTGTCCACTTCTCGTAGCTGTTTCTATAATTATCTTTATGCTTTTGAGCCTCCATCGAGGTTCCAATCATCTTAATTTGAACAAGATTTAGCTTGAAACACTAGTGTTACTACGACACCATAGGTACGAGGTATACATTTTGTGGTTTTTTTTCTTTTATTAGGTATTCTTTGAATATTAGCTGCAATATATCTTTATGATAAAAATGAATAGGGGCTCGACGGCTGGCGAAATCGATCTGACATCAGAAAACGTGGCAGATTCAGATTCAGATTCTAGCGCGGTGCTATTTATTATTATTAGAAGGTCTGGAAGATTGCCTAGGACGGTTGGACTTGTCCGGATTGAGCTTGCTTTAGGGTTAGGGCCAGGCGGGCACCTGAATGGGGGCCTGCTGAGTCCTGACATAAGCGAACTATTCCAGATGGGGTAGTCCTCTGGCCGCCTCACGTGCCCTCGGCGATCGGGCTCTGGAAAAACCCCGGGCCTTCTGCCCAGAAGATCGCAGATTCGAGTCGTCGTGATGGGGCTGCTACCTTTCTTGGCAAGCAAGGGTTCTCAAGCGCGCTCCTAAATATAGCTAGCTGATCGGCCGTCTCCTCAATCCTCTTCTTCTGCTCGGCGAAACTGCACCAGTCACGCGCGGAGAGCCGCAAGCACACGCCATCGCACTGTGCGACGCCGTTGTCACATAACGCCCTCTGCTAGCCCCTTGCAAGCGCCAGATTGCAATGGCCTCCTGCCCCAAGCCTGCTACGGGCCGAGCTAAGTCCTACCTTAATCGCCAGGCCAGACTAGATGCGGACCGGCAATAACGCACACAGGTAATGCCGAAGAACCAGGCAGTGAATGACGATTTGGATGGCCTCATTCAGGGTGTGAGATGCAGGCAGGCATGCAACACGTATGAAGCGACACCCTGGCTCATGTTGGATATCGAACGGGAGGCACAACCAACTGGCGGTGCTGGGCTCTCGCTGGCCTCTTGCCGGCCAGGCTTGCCGGGTCTTCTTATCTTCGTATTCTGCTGCCGGGCCGGCTTCAGTTCTACTGCTGTTCTATATTTGTCTACCGGCAAACTCGGACAATTCGGACTATCTGATCGCGTTCTCCACACGCCTATCCAGATCAGGTAAACGGTCAACAGACTGAGCGTGTGCTCAGTGCTCAGTGCTGTCGAGCTTCCTTTACTTTTTTTAATAAGGTCAACGGAATGTCCATCAGAACACCCAGGGTTCCAAGTGGGTACTGGAATCCGGGGGCGAAACTCACAGATCCTCTGCCCCATCCATCGGCAAGAAGGTTGTTTATATTTATCCATATGACAATGCCATGGCATTGGCGTTAGCTCCGTTCGTTTCAAAGGGTTTCAATTTACAGGCCGAAGGACGTCGATGAAACCCCCCACCGGATCTTCCTGATCTGCCTCGTATGTGAGGAATGATGCCGTACGGAGTCCTCAAACCCATCTCGTTACTGGACTGTAGGAATTGGGCCATCTTCACGATGTAGGATCAAACTCAGTCCATTGGAGGATCGTCACTGATGAGCATCAGACCACATCCGTCTTAGCGGGTCGTCTGGGCGTTCTAATTAAGATTATTCCATGGCCGCCAGTAAGCACCAAGACGCAAGGGCTCCGCCAGGAACATCGTAGTCTGAGTCTATCGGCCGCGTATGGAGACTGATCGAAGGAATTCGACGGCCAGAAAAGGATTGGATTGATTCGTATTGGAATTTTCCGGAATTTCTCTTGTCCGTCTGATCGCATCGGGGTCGAAGTCAACCTCCTGAAAGAGCAGTCTCTGCTGCAGCTGCGAGCTTATAATAACTCTCCATCTTCCTCCCAGACTGTCCGGGGTGTGTTGGAAGTTGCTGTCCCCAGGGGATGCCCGGTTGTTCAGTCCTCGTCCCGACCATCTCTCGTACACGGTGTGAAAACGAATAAACCCCGGCTGGAGGGCCAGGGGCTGTATGCCATACAAGTTTGTTCTTCTTTTTCTCTGGATGATCCTAAGGTATCGTTCGAGTCCAACCTGATCGTTCAGGATCAACTCTAATCTGTTCCCTTAGGGGTCTGACTGTCCCAAACCTTGACGCCTTACTGTGAGCCTGATTACCTTGAACAAAAGTCGAATCGAAACGTGGTCAGCACGGATCAGATCATATCAAGTGCACCTATCCAACGAGCAACCCGATCTCCCGGTTGTCTGTCGCATAGAATTCGTGACTTCGAGACTGGCGCCAATGAGTCGGATCGAGCAGTCGCCCAAGCCCGGCAAGGTGCAGCGGGCGCTGATCGCTTGCCAGGATGCCTTAGGTTACCTGTTGCAGCCTGCAGCATCCGCCAGCCTGGATTTTATCTATGTTGATCGCCTCCTGTCGTCGATTGTCGAACCCCCCTCAGACGCCAAGCAGAAGAACGGCCGCCGCGGGGTGTCGATTCTCCGGCAGTGGATGATCGAAGAAGGGCCCGGGGTCGCGCTGCTGGAGATCCTAGGCCAGCTGCTCTGGCGGGTGGTCGACATGAGCAGCGACCAGGTGAAGGGTCTGCGGCAGGCCCTGCAGGCGAACCCACGCTATCTAAGCATGATTTACGACCCCCGATCGACCGAGCTCGTCCTCGAGCGGATCGAGCGGGTGCGGCAGAACAAGATCAAGGCCTGCCTGGACTTTCGAAACAGCGTGCTGGGTGCGTGCACTGCCATCCAATTTCCAACTATCTCATTTACTGACACCCTACAGGCTACAGCCCGGACGACACCCCGACGCCGGACGAGGCGCCCCCACCATGGTCGCCCCCAAGAGTTTCGTCTCAGATTGTCGTGCCTCAGGAATATTTTCCTGTCGTCCAGGACGAAAAGGCTATCGTATTCGAACCGGTGTCCTGGGACCCGTCCCTCTCTTACAACGGCCTGATCAAGCTGCATCCAGCGACGATCAACTACAAGGGGCTGTGGACGAATGAATTGGAGCGCGATCTCCTCGACTTCTGTATGCAGGCTGCCCTCTGAATTCCATAGGCTATCGCTAATATTAGCTGACAGACATTAACATCTTCGTCCCCGGCCAGACCTTCGTCGAAGCAGAAAATACATACCTCGATCTCCTCAACGTCGCCATGCGGTCCGAGAGCACGAGACACGCCATCTTCAGCCTTAGCGCGTCCTACCTGAAAGACTACTCCCTGTCCGGCAACATACAGTACGACTACATCAACCACCGGTACATCGCGCTGGCAGCGCAGGCGCTGCAGCGTGATCTCAGCAACCGCGACTCACCCGAGAGCAGCCTGGCGACGGGGATGCTGCTGGTGCACCACGGCGTCGTCAACGAGCAGGAGGCCGAGATGTGCTGGTCGTGGCACGTCAGCATGATCGACGCCTTCCAGAAGGCAGGCTGCTTCGACCCATCGTCCGAGCCGGCGCTGTACATGACCTACCAACTGATCCTGGCCCTGACGACGCAGACGACGGCGCAGATCCACGCTGGCCCGCCGATGGCCAGCTGCGACTGGCTGCTGCAGTGTGACTTCCGCGAGTCGCAGCGCATCTGCGGCATCCTTGGCACGTCGCGGCGCATGTTGTGCCTGATCTCGCGCATCACCGATCTGGCCATGGAGCCGTCGACGTCGGAGGAGAAGCTGGCCCGCGCCGAGGCGATTGAGGACGAGATCCTGATGCTGGACGACTGGTCGCAGACGGCGACGGGGGAGGCACTTGATGTGTTGCTACGCATTGCCAAGGCATACCACCTATCGGCGCGGATATACCTGTTGTGTCGGGTGTTGGGGTGAGTTTCCTCATCCTCTTTCTATCTCTACTATCATTTCTAACTACTTGTACAGTGCAACGCCACTCCAAGCGCGCGTCGTCTCTCTGCAAGCCAAGCTGTACGAGCTGGTAATCTCCCTGCCTGTGGACGGGCCGTACTTCACGGCCATCTACCCGCTGTGGTGCTGCGTGATGGCGGCGGTGTCATCGACGCAAGCAGAGCACGTGGAGATGCTGTTCGAGCGACTGCGCAACATCAGCCAGCGGAACAAGGGGGTGAGTCAGAGATGAGCCTGCTGTAGCGGGGACAACAACTAACTGAATGCCAGAACATCGGTTCCGTGCTCGCCTGCATCTCGAATCTCTGTGCCTGGATTCGGAGCCATCCCTTCACCAGCACCCGGCAGCCGGGGTGGTGGGAGGAGATGCTCGAGGCGCAGCCAGCAAGACTAAAGATGTTGAGTTTTGGTTGAAGAACCAGCTTTTTTTTTATCATCTACTCTGCAAAAAAAAATATCACGGTTTGCTTGCTTGCTTGACTTGGATTGACTTGACTGGCTTGGCGTGGCTCATGGGATGGAAGTTCTCTTATGATACCTACTCTGCATTGCAACTACGTTTGGGTCATATTTTGTTTGTTGTCATTTCGATATGATTTATGTTTACGTCATTGTATCTCGTTCAGGGTCGGGTCGTGTCGTTTTGTCTTTCTTCAGGATGGTGTATGCATTTGAGTCGGCGTGGGTTATGTATATTATTTTCAATTTTGTCTCCTTTGTATGTATGTACATAGCTTTACCTTGAGAATAAGGGGCGTTATCTACTGTACATATCTATCTATTTGACTCAGCAATGAAAAAAAAAGACGAACACTAAATAGAACGTACCTCTGTAGAGTAAGTACGTAGAAGATAAGCACAGTACATGTACGGAGTAGTGTGGTAAATGCATGTCCCCATCATCATAGCAACCCCAGCCCAATCATTTTAGTCTCTTTTCTCTTCTTTTCTATTCTTTTCTCTATTATTCCTTCCCCACGCCAAACAGCCAAACCGGAAACCGGGTATCAACCGGCCCGGGGATACCTAGACGATAGAGGACTATGAGGTACTTATGTAGAAACGGAAACATAAAACGACAAAGACAACAAATCATGATTGGCCAATCAATCAGTAAAAAAACAAGAGAAAGGATCTTTTGAGTTTGAGTTTTGAGACTTTTTTTTTCTCTCTTCCAATTGCTTCCATGGATCTTTTATTTTTTTTAACTTACCTAGGTAGGTAGGTAAGTAGTAAGCACTAAGCACTTAGTAAGCACTGCCAAGAATACCTACTAAAAATAGGTAACTAAGAATGGAACCCGATCCGCGGTGACCGTGCCGGGTGCCCACCTCAGATCCTGCGGAGTGGAGTACTCCGTATAGACAGTACAGACTACAGGTAACAGAGTACGGAGTACTTAATTACCTAGGTACCTACTGACCCATGGACCCACCTCCCAGATTTGGTATTTATTAGATAGATAGTAGTATGGTAATATACTAATAATAATAATTGCCGCAGCTAAAACAAGAAACAAAAAAAAGGTTAAATACTACTCCGTGGGATTTAGGTACCTAGATAATAGCGAAGACCAGGATTGGCAGGATCAGCAGGATCAACAGGATCCGGGTTCTGATTAGTTATACCACGAGACGAGGGGAGACGAGAAAGAGAGAAGAGGGGGAAACAGCTGTTTTGAAAGCACCGGGATGAATGCCGGGATTTTCTTTAAATACAAGAATTTAAAAAAAAATGAAAAAAAACCAACTCTAGCTGGCTGATTATGGTTGTATATTATAAAAAGTACAGTAGTGTGAGATACATATGCGAGGCTTATAATTGATTCATTAATTATAAGTTATAAGCAAGTAAGCAAGCAAGTCCTGATGAAAGAGAAAATGAAAAATGAAAATAAGAAAAAAGACAGAAAGTGAGAGAAAAAAAAAGGATTCTCACAAGGGTCGTCGCGTTCGATTGTTTGTTGTTCCTCGGATGTAAATAATAAAAAAATATTAGCCTGCTTTGTTCACAATTGGGATCTACGTAGTACTATACATGTATGTACGTACTGTATGTACATGTACTGTACATATATATCAACGCAGCTCTATCATGATGATGATCAATCAATCAATGTTAATATAATAATTCCTTTCCTTTTCTTGTTTTTTTTTAAAAACCTAATGCAAGGCACTTTTTTGTTGTTTGACGACACGACAAACCAATTGCTAGGACATACGGAGTATGGACTGTCCATACTTGGGCCACATAGCTACTCACTCCATCTTCAGGTCACATGGATGGTCCATTGATGTATGACGATCACGTGTATGGATGGATTATCAATACATGTATGTTAGGTAGGTAGTCTGGAGCACTCTGGATTGTATGTACTGTACATACAGCAGCTCCGTCAAGCATCTTCCTTACAGAATGAACACGGTATTTCCTCGCTACATTTTTTTTTCTCCTTCTTTTTATTGCTTTAATTAGTGCTCCATAATCCACTCCTATCTAGAGTACATATATTTAACGTCTAATTGCTCGGCTAAAATTTCTGTTTTGACATGATAAAGGAAAAATATCAAAATTTTCCGAGTCCTTATAAAGTGCCCATTGTCGTGGTACGACACTGTACCTTTGTCGATGGAGCGTATGGATGATCCATGATCACGGTTCAATCACTTATGGATAATCCATCTCATGTATGTAGACGGAGGATCCTTCCTTCGATTTTCATCAAGTATCACCGTTAGAGAATGAACTTGTCCTTAGGTCGCTACACCCATGAAGCCTATCGTAGTAAACCGCTGTTGACGCTGAGCGTCAGGGTAACCGTGCGATCGCGCTAGCCGGCTTTGGGGGAAATGTCGATCGCACCTTCCCGAGAGCGGGCTAGTTGGATCTCTGGAGATTGTGTCCCAGTCTGATGGATTTCCCATTTTGCTTTACTGCCTGCCGATATGTCCCACCGTCAGACGCTGACGCGGACCTGGACAGCAGCCTGCTAGAGCATAGTCTCTGAGGGTTAAATCATATGAATGGAGATGAAGTGTTCTGGTGTGATGTGATATAATCCTTGTTCTCAACCAAATACTGGCTAACCAGCCAGAAACATTCCACAGGCATCTCCCTGTGGAAGTTGCTTACCACTCTCGTACGTCACAAGATGCGTTTCACTCTCTTTGTTGCAAGCAATCTAACTAGGACACAGATTATATGCTAGATCTGGGACCGATATACGAATCGATGATATCGCCTTACATCATCATTAATGAATCTATGATTCCAATGTATTCATCTGTCGCTGGTACGATAACCTCGACTCCCGGTCAATTGGATGCAGCGTATTTACGCCGAAACTTGGAGTCACCGGTTCTATTCTCTACAGCAGTCAAGGGTCTCCTTGGGGGAAAGGAGCAGCTCATTATTTATCATACCCTAAGACAAACACATTACATTCCAAGGAGATATCATACATATATAATCAACTCATCTTTCTTTCTTTCTTTCTTTCTCTCTCTCTCTGCCCGGCTGTTTTATACTTTATACCTGCGGCGTCACACCAAACCTTGCTGCGCGCTGACGCTCCGATTCAATCGACTCTGCGATTGCGCGGCGGATCATCGCCTCTTCATCGTTGTCGTCGTCGGCTGCGGGGTTGGTGTGATTGGTGTGATTGGTATTGGTATGGCGAGAGACTGGTTCTGCTGGGAGTTCGGCGGGTAGCTCTGCTATTCCTGCCGGTGGGTCTGGTATAGGAGCATGTGCTGCTGCCGGTGCTGCTGCTGTCGCTACAGGTGAAGATGGAAGTTCATAAACGTTAGCCGGCGGTGGGTGATAAGACAGCGGTCGTGGATACGTCGGCCCTGGCTTCCCTCTTGCGTTGCTGGATGGGAAGCCATCGTCGCCGTCGTCGTCTTCCATCCGGGCCGTGCTGTGGAAGAAGCTCATGCTCACATCCGAAGACGATCGACTGTGCAAAGTGTTGATGCTGAGATGCCGCCTGTCGGCAGCAGCAGATGAATTACCAGACGAGTGTTTTTGGCTATCGTCTTGCACACCCCTCAGCCTCTCCTGCGCAGCAGACTTCCATTTCTCCACGAAATCGGCCTGAGGCCGTTCCTTGTCCCGCGTCTCCCACTTCCTGATAATCTCTTGCCGCTGCGCCTCCGTCACAGTGCTCACGCTCTGGTGTCCCTCCATATACCGCGTCGCCACAATGTAGCTGTGCAGGCTGGAGCCAAAGTATTTCTGCACTTCCTCGTACACGCCTTTAAACGAGTAGGCGGGGATTCCCCAGATAGCTAGTTCTGTTAGCCAGCCCAATCAATCGTAATAGATCTGGAATGATCTACCTGCTCCCGGCTTGAGGATCGCTCCTCCCAGTCCCTTTCCGACGCCTTTGAAAAATCCTCCCACTCCGTCTTTCTTGGCCCCGCGAATCGGCTGCGTGATGATCCCGGTGATGCCGTCGTAAAAGCCAAGGCCCAATTCCTAGACGGTTGTCAGCGCGCAGAACTCGGTGAAGGTTGATAGATAGATAGATGCAAGGCGTATGTACATACTTTACTGGCAGTCTTGATCCCGCTATGAAAGCCCGTGATCTTGTCCTGCTCACGGACAGTATCGTCGCCATACAGTCTGGGCGCGTTGCGGAAGCCTTTGGCAAGGCCCATCGTAAAGTCGAGTGGCGTCTTGAGGCCGACCTCGACAATCCGGCCCATGCCTTTGCCTGCACCCCTGGCGGCGTCGGATGCAATCGAGTCTGAAGCTTCCGTGATGCCGGTCTTGTTCATCGCGATCGTTTCCTGCCCCGTGACTTCTTTGTAGAATCCGTATGCGAATGACTGCGTGTGTCAGTGGTCAAAACAAAACTATACGGACGTGGAGCACACTTTAGCCTTGGATTTCTTCCCCTTTTTCTTCCCTTTCTGGTCCTCGACGCTCGAGGTCCGCGAATGCGACGAGCGATCATCGTGCTCGGAAGCGGAGGCAATGTCCCGAGTCGACGTAGGAACTGCCGTCGATGCAGCAGAACCAGATGAAACAGATCCAGACTCTGCTTGCCCTCGATGCGGTTCCATTACCGAGCTGGCTACCTGGATGGGCAGGTCCAGGATGCCCAGCGCAATGCTACCCATGGAGCCCAACAGCGCGCCAAAACCGCCGGAGAGAGGATCGGTTGCGCCCGCCTCCGTTTGGTACTCCTGGATGCGGACCCTATGTATATATATACTACCTGTCAGACAGTAATACTCATCTCATCAAGCCACGACGGGTTACTGACGGTCGAAGGTCGTTCATATTCAGCAGCCCTGCATTCCCCAACACCGTCGCCGCGAGTGCGCTCAGACGCATCCGGCTTTTCCTCACCTTCCACACGGCCTTTTCTGACGGGAATATATCGCATCGGAATTGGTCGATGTCCAGCTGCTCTTGGAAGCTATGTGCTGCCGCTCGGGCGCCATCCTCTGCGCGAACAGCCTTGCCCAGTTCGCGCGCCCGTTCGACTACGCCCGGCGTCAGCGCTTCGAGGATGGCTTCCGCGAGGTTGTCGGCGGTCAGCTTCTTGTGTGGAATGGGCGCAGGCCCTGCCCCGGCTCTTTTGATCATGGCGCCCCAGAACGGCTGGTCACCGAAGAAGGGCACCACGACCGTGGGCTTATCGAGCGCGATTCCTGCCGCCGTGGTCCCTGCGCCGCCGTGGTGCACCACGCACGACACCCGTTGAAAGAGCCAGTCGTGTGGACAGTTGCCGATCAGGAAAATATTGGGCGGCACGTCGATTGACGCTCCAAAGCCACCCCATCCCTTGGACACCAGAGCTCGTTGGCCGGTTTTGGACACGGCTTCGAAAATCAGCCTCGTCATGCCGTCTGGATCGTCCACCACGATCGACCCAAAGCCGATGTAGATGGGCGGAGGCCCCGCAGCGAGGAATACAGCCAGCTCCGGGTCGGGGGTATATGTGGACGCGAGACCAAGGAAGGAGAATCCGGTGACGGAGATGTGAGGGCCCCAGTCCTGCGGCTTGGGGATCAGCGCTGGCGACCAGCAGTATGTAACTGGCACCCGAAGCCGGTTGAGGATGCCGGTAGCAGACATGGACGAGAGCGGTTCCAAGCCGAGAGACTTGACTCTGAATCGGTTGATCAGATCTCCAAGGCCCTGCCAGGTCATCATTTCGATCAGAGAGTAGCTGACGTAGTTGGATGTGCTCGCATTAGCATTGGACGAGCGGATGTTTGCCATCGGATGAGGGAACGACGTTGTCGGAGACCACGGCATACTGCAGACGAGAGTCAGTTATTGCCCTCGAAGATTGAGCGAGCGGAGGAGGAGTTCTGGACACGCACGTAAACATTACATGCAGCGGAATACCGAGTTTCTCGGCGACGTGGATGTGAGCGAAACTAGGAGGGTTGGCGATGATAGCATCGGCCAGGAACGGCTGCTCGGAGGGATCGTCACTCCCATACACGCCGGCCGTGTACTTGCGCAGGCCGTTCCCTGGCTCGATGCATGACCTCCAGCAGCCCTCGAGGATTTCGGCTATTTCCCTGCGTCGTTTGCTGATATCGCCTTCCGCCACGGCCTTCATCGACGGTATCAGGGAGGGATTCTTCACCATGAACGCCATGAGCGCGGCCGGGTCGCCTCCGATGCTGAAGAACTCCAAACCGTTGCTCTCGACGAAATCTTTGAACACGGGATGGGTCGCGAGACGGACGCGATGCTTGTAGGTGTTCTTCAAGACTTGGCCCAATGCGACAAAAGGTTGCACGTCGCCGCGAGAGCCCACCACGTGGATGACGACATTGAGCGAAACAGGCGACGGCTGATCCAGCGGGACATGGCTCCGGTTGCTCTGATCCTGCTGCTGTTCCTGCTGGATGGTCGCAAGCTGTCGCTGCAGAGCTGGTGCAAAGAGATTGGAAAGGCGTCCGGACTTCTCGTTCAAAAAGATATCGACTCTGCCGTCATCTGAATTCAGCCCCTGTCAGCCATTAATCCACAACAAGCACACCCTGCATGGAAGGCTTCACCTGTGACCTGCGCCTGCGTCCTGATTCCATCTTGTGATATGGCAATCGTCCCTGGCTCGTTGTAAGCCGGCGGCGGAATGTCCTCGAACGAGGAATCAAAGTCTGCAGCCGGATCAAAACTGTTTTTTGCGCCGTCAACGACGAAATAATCTTCGAATTCGAACAGCATACGTATGTACATACACTTGTCGCGTGAATGTTCTCGGCCCGCCGTTCGACACGTTCGACACGGGCGTCTTGGAGTCACTCATCTTGACCAGCGTGGATTCTGTGTGATAAACGACAGAGGCAGCATTTCAGAGATCAGGAGTAGATAACCGCCTAAAAATGAAGTGTCAAACTCGCACAGCACAGCATCTCACAAGCCACGCTGCTGCTAGAGGGGCTAGAGCGCAACCCAAAACTCGCTTAGTACTAATTAATAACTCCATAATGAATACTCTGTACAGTAGGGCGAGCTGGCAGCCTGGCACCTTGAGTTGCAAGCTTGTTGCATTAGCGTCTGGAGCTGACATGCAGTGGGGAATCCTGGAAATCCAATAAAACAGCAGGAAAAAGCAACCAACAGCGCTAAGCATGGATGTGGAAGCAAAACCTGGGCTAGGTACGTACAGTACCTAGTAGAATGCCGGTCTATTAGCGCGGGGGCTGGTCCCGGCTGGACAACAGCAACAGCAACAGCTGCAACACACTCAGCCCCCAAACGCTTCGTCAGTGCCGGTTGGCGCATGCCTAAAACCTATTGCCGGAGCTATACCGCGAGCCAATGACCTCTCTTTTTTTCGGACATAGCACAGAGTACTCTGTACGTGATTCATTCATGGCCCTGCAGCAGTGAGACTGGAAGTATTCTATACACCAAACTTCCTACTCTATATCTGTCAAAGAACGAAGCACGTGCGCTCCCAAAACGGTAACAGAGGCATGTGCCTGTCTAACCTAATTGGGATCCCCCACAAAGCGGCTTATGTAAGTTTCTAAAATTAGATGCTCAGCCCTAAGGACGAGGACCTGCCCAGGAAGGAAGCACATAGTAGAATGAATTGAACTGCATCCCTAAGTAATCCTATGTGCAGTGCAAAAATGGGCAAAACCATCAGTGAAAGATCATGTAACGGACCGGCTTAAAGATCATCTATCTATATACTCCATCACACATACATCGATCGACGTCTTAAGCATCGTCCAACCTATTGACCAATCGATCAATAAATAATCCTCCCGAGTCTACCGATGCAGCCGCGAATATCTTAATTTCAAACATACGACCCGATTCGAGAGTCCATGCTGCCTCCTTCCGACTTGCCGCTGCACAGGCTGTACGTGCCAGCCTTCTTGTCGCTGCGGAACGACCAGCTCGCAGCCGCCCATTCGTTATCAAAGGCGTAGCCCGGATGGTACACGGCCAGCACGACCACGGCCAGCATGATCATGGGGCCTTCCAGCGTCATGAACAGGCCCTGATTGTTGGCGACCTCGCTGGTGAATCCGCTCTCCAGCTCCGCGACACGGAACGAGGAACGGATGATGATGGCCACGGTGGCAATGGCGAGACCCGGAAGGTTACGCGGTCAGAAAAACTCATCCGTCTTGATTGTGATAGATAGAGAACACATACTCCAGAGGAAAGCCATGAACTTGAAACTTCCGGTAACAAAGGCGAGCGCCTGGTTCCTCTGCATCGGGGACTTTCTCACCCGTAGCCCAAAGTCGATGCACAAGACCGAGAAGAGGACCAGAGAGATGACTTGGAATATGAGACCAGCGAGCATGATGTGTTCGCCGAGCTTCTCATCGTCTGGTTGACCGCCATCAGCGGCAATGGCTCCGCCGACTGCCTGCAGGCTCAAAGAGAGGATGTCGCAGGTAACAAACACAATGGTGTAGGTGCGAGGCTTGAAGCGCGACAGATGAGCGCCGTAGGCGGTCACGATCCTTCCTAAACAGAGATAGATGGATGCGGAAAGGAAGGCTGGCCCGATAGTGAGGGTGATCAGGTATCTATCGAGCAGTCAGAACCATACAAAGAAGAGATACGGCGTTGACAGACACGGCACTCACGCAAAGAAGGGATCCTTGACAAATTGGTTGTTGTGCATCCCAATACGGGCCCCGTAGCCGATGATCTCCAGGATGATGCCGCCCATCATGCCTCCGAGGAATCCCCAGGTCCGGTACCGGATGCCGAGGAAGAGATGCACAATCAATAGAACTACGAAGATGGCGAGGTAGGTGGCATTTCCTGGCAGGGAGGGGACGTATTGGACGGTGGCGAGGACGGCAGGGCACGTCTGCAGCGTGCATGTTTCCGGAGGGTATTCCTGGAGCAAGGCAGTCACGTTGAGGGGAGCAGAACTCATTGTGGATGTGAGGATTACTACAGGTTGGAAATAAGATAAACTGGTGGTCTGTAGTTAGGAGAAGGCCAAAAGGAAAAAGCGATCAAATAAAAACAGGTTTAGAAGAATGATCCCTAGGTTGCCAATTTCACAGAAAAAAAAAAAAGTGGAATCGAGTTCAAGGCTGGCATGGCATGGAGTGGAAGAGGACACCAGCGTATATTAAATAAAGCATGCAAAGCAACCACATTCTAATCTTGTCTCGCCCACCGCATGGGATTCCTAAGTCCAGACAATGAGATCCCACGGATGCAAGTGACGAGGCGCGGTCTTTGTCCCGCGTCTAACCCTAACCGTGTTGACAGTATGTAAAGTACTGTAGCAAAGCAGAGAGCCTGAATCAGCCAGAGAATGTGCCTGGAGAACCCATACTCGATGTTTCTTCTAGAAGACTGAAAAGTAACAGAAGTATACAGCTGAGTATGGCAGTCGCTCAACTAATTGGGTTAGGAAGGTACGAAGCACAGGGCTGAAGTTAGATCGCTGATCGTCAGCGGTCCTGCCTAATCAGGATAGAGCGGGCCATCCTGTTCGCCGTCTCGGCCAATCACGGCGTCGGGATGGTGCCCGCCCCTGCCAAGGAGGCGGTCTGCCGGATGCCGCGCTAGGCTCGTTTCGGTTCCCCGCATTACCTGCCGTCGTATCTCGTATCGGTAGTACGGTACCGAGTATTGTTACGGTACTGAATTCCCACTCCATACTGTCGGGCCGCTCTGCGCGGGACGGAATAGAAATTCCCATTCCCAAATATTGCGTAGTAAATTAATCTTCCACCATCCTTGTCATCGACAAAGAAAGCTCTCCCTGGGAGGTTCGGTAGAATTTACGAAGCAAGCGCCTTTGTCATACCGGGCTGCCACCACCAGGTCGGCCTATACCATCTTGCTGCCATGCAGATGATATAGAATATTCTATACAGACACGTAAGCAGATGATAAGGCCAACGCTGCTGAATTTGATATCTACCAGCATCCATCGTCTGGAACTATCCAACATACGATTCATCCATTCTCCTGTCCGCTCACGCTAGCGTGCCATCCACGCTAGACAGCGGAGGAAAAGGCGGAGGACGTTCCAGCCACGCACCGCCGCCTCGACCACAAAGACGAGTCGCCTGCGCATCCTTTCACGTTGTCAGTCTCTAATCACATCAAAGATGGGCTGCATCTGCTGTGTGGCGCTGGCTACGGCCAGGAAGGCGGGCGACGTTATCATCCATTCCAAGGACTACTCAATAATGACTGGAATGATGACTGATCGATAGACGACGACATGAAGCAATGTGGTACAGATGCCTGCTACTGCAGGATGGTGGAGGGCTGAATCAGTGCCAATTAAGCAGTGGGGTCGGAAACACAGTGTTGGCGCTGATCGCCTCTAGCCTGTAGCCAAATGATTAGCTGGCCAGTCAGGGCGAGCCAACAACTCCCTAACTGTTGGATGCATATTAATGTCTGTCGACACCTAATTTTGGACGCTGGTTGCCTGAGCACTTGCCTGCGTCAGTTGGGCCTAGCTCCGTGCGTTGTCACAGCTTCTCGATTCTTGCTGTCGGTCTCACAATATTCTCATTCACCTCATCTCTCCGCATTTCTTTTTCTGTTATGCTGGATTGGAGGTATAAACACAGAATTCCAAAGATCGATCCATAAATGGAAGACAGATTGAAACCATCGCACAATGGACTCGAACGGATGGAGATGGACCGCGATGAACCGAACAAGAGCACGACGGAAAATACGTCGTACGTCAAGCTGTCCTCGCAGAGCGCAGTGCTGGGCGCCGATTCGATCGACGCAGCACACACCCTAAGAGCGCAGAGATCGCATGACAGCAGTGAGGTAATTAAGGCCTGATTCTGTCGTTATCGAGCATTGTCTGACGGACTCTTCAGGACCAATTATTATCCGCCCACCACCTTCCACCCCTCCCATGGAAGATCACTATCGCGATCGCCTTGCGCCGCTTCTGGCGCTGGTTTCTGACCCCTATCGGGTTCTTGGTGACCATCTACGGTCTGAATGTCGTCGCCTGGGGAGGGATGCTTTTCCTGCTGATCTGCAATGCCGCCCCGGCCATGTGCCATCCCAGCTGCAACGACATCAACTCGCCGCGCCGCATCTGGATCGAGATCGACTCGCAGATCCTGAACGCGCTCTTCTGCGTCACTGGATTTGGGCTGGCCCCGTGGCGCTTCCGCGACCTGTACTGGTGGGTGGTCTGGCGCTGCGGCAGGACCGACGAGGCACGCAGCGTAGGCATCCGACGACTGGCGGGCATCCATCGCGGATGGTATCGCTTGCCGGGCAGCGACTCCCTAGCAGGCTCAGATTCTCTCGACAGCAACAACCCCGCCGTTCCCATCCCGCCGAGCAGAATGCCCGACCCGCCGCTTACAGGCGTCTACGCGCCGCCGACGAAGCCGTGGAAGATGAGCTTTCTCATCTGGTGCAACATCTGGAACACCATCTTTCAGGCGTGTCTGGCCGGGTGCATGTGGGGGTTGAACCGGTATAACCGACCCAGCTGGACGACGGGCCTGTTCATCGCGCTGGCCTTTATCGTGGCGGGCATGGCCGGCTGGACCGAGTTCAGCGAGGGCCGGCGCGTGAAGAAGATCGAGGGAGCGCCCATGTCGGAAGAGGAGAGGCGTGCGAGAGCCCAAATGTCGGAGAAGCAGCGGCAGCTAGAAATGCATGAGCCATGCTGATCTATATATATGTGTGTATAATAATGGATATAGACATGCCGGTACGACAGGTTCAAGTTTGAGTCTGGGTTTGGATTCGATTCATGGATAAACGTTTTTTTTCTCAATAATGATCAGGATGTGTCGATTATCTGGATCCTGCAGTTCATTGTAATAACTTACGGACCTAATCGTCTTGTCAACACGGAAATTGAAGGCGATGAAAATAAGTAAAAGAAAAGTGGACCAAGATATCTCGACTTATGGGCACTAGAACGGCAGGGGGAGAGAAATGCAGTCATTCATTGTCAAAGACACGGAAACAAAAAGAAAAAAACGAACAAACTAACCTCCAGGTGAGCCAGGCCAGGCGAGACAGCTATTTTTTTTTCCCTTCGTCAACAAACTACAGTAATCCCAAGCATTGCCACAGTACATTCTCAGAGCAGGCCCGAGCAAGGCTACATGCTCAGGCGATCTGCGCATGGGACGAAAACTTCACCTCTGCAGAGTTCGACGCGCTGTCTACAAGCTGGCATACTCCCCAAATGCTAGGCGTCCGTCCGGAGATCAAGGTTGAAATGAAACACAGTTGCTATGCTCGGTATTATAAAGGCAGGCGGCAGATGCGTTGGTCTCAGCCCGGGGTATCCCATGCCTCGCATGATGTCGATTCTGGAGGACATCAAGGCCACTATTGTCCTTGTGACTCTGCAATACTACTCCTTGTTCGAGGGGATCGTCCCTTATATTATCAAGATCGAGCCCACCTTCATCGATTCACTACCAAGCGTGACATCAGACAGACCCATTCAGATGTGCAAACGGAGAACACCGTGCTTGTGGTCTGCACCTCAGGCAGCACTGGCAAGCCCAAGGGCATCATGATTGAGCATCGCGGTCTATGCACGATGAGGTATTATCGAGGGCCGATGTATATGGACCACAATGCCCGCGTCTTGCCAGCAATGCGGCTTTCAGCACTGAGCCTGCAGAAATCATCCTCATTGCGATCATGCACTCGTTTGCTGGCGTGTTCGAGGACCGTTCGGTGCAAACCTTCTTCGAGGACCACGGTCGAGAGTCCTGGGATGCTGACGTCGAGTGGGCTAGTTCACCGTCATCAGCCCTCTGCCCGTTCCCAGAGACAAGGATAGGTATCCTGTGAATACTTCAGCAGACCAAGGATCTCAGACGATGGCCATCCGGGACGTGTCCGTGGACGGGGTGGGCCGACTCGTGGGAACGCTGATCTATCATCATGCTGATGTGCCTACCGGATACGCATCGACGAGACGGCAGTCATCTCCCAGCTATGGAGACCTCCTCGCACCAGGAAGGAGTTACCTCCTCAAGAGTCTGCCTACCAGCAGAGTCACGTCAGCTGTGGAACACGATCATGTCATGTCGCTGCAATACGGCAGGCAGCACGGCTGGTCAGCAGTAGCCGCGGAAGAGGAAAAGGAAGGCATAATTAATCATCTACCATCTCTTTCGAATTAATTCATCCGAGGGAGGCAGGGATCCTAATGAGGTAAGCAACGCACCTACCTATATATATATATATGTTTCGTGATATTCATGCGCTGTTTTTCTTCACTATTTATTCATTTATTTGCTATTCATTCCATTTCAGCTATCTGTTAAGGTCAGGCATGCAGGCAAGTCAGCCAATTTCGCCAATGTCATCACGCACCACGAAGATAGACAGCCGCATATACAAACGAATCAGAAAATGACTTCGTCTGAATTTCTTTTCCGAAATAAATCACCTGGTCTAGCTCTGACTACGGAGTACTCCTTAAACAAATAAGCTTATCTCGCCCCAAGACACTAGCGTATCAAGTCTACAGACTAGTCTACGAGAAACTTATTTTGAATTGAATTATGCTTTCATTCGTCTAGTACAGACTCGAATGCAAGACAGACGAGTGCACACTTTCCGAAAGCTAAAGCGAAAAATAATAATTCATTAAACGCTCAAAACGCCAGTGTAAAATTCAAATCCACCACGTACAGGCATGAAGAAAAAAAATGATGTTTTTCGTCAAAAGCCCATTAAGCAATGTTACAACCCAGATGATATCATATCACTCTTTTTTTTTTCTTTGGCAGAACACCGTTTAGTCAACCTCCTCCATGGCGCTCTCGCCAGTCGCCTCAGCAGGAGCCTCCTCGGCCGGCTTCTGCTCGGCCGCCTCGGTCTCCTCCTCCACGTTCAGACCGAGAGACACCAGCTTGTGGATGCGCTCAGCGAAGCTGGCAGGCTCCTCAATGGTGAAGCCAGACACCAGCAGAGAGGTCTCGAAGAGCAGTTGGGTGATGGACTTGACGGTGCGGTCGTTCTCGCCGTCGGCCTCGACCTTCTTCTTGAGCTCGCGGATGATCGGGGACTTGGGCGAGATCTCAAAGGTCTTCTTGGAGGCCATGTACGAGCTCATCGAGGTGTCACGCAGAGCCTGGGCCTTCATGATACGCTCCATGTTGGCGGACCAACCGAACTGGCCGGTACGGATGGCGCAAGGAGAGCCAATCAGCTTGTGGGACACAACGACCTTCTCAACCTTGTCGCCCAGGATGTTCTTCAGGGCCTTGGCCAGACCCTCGAACTCCTTCTCCTCCTTCTCACGCTCCTTCTTCTCCTCGTCGCTCTCCTCGAGCTCGAAGTCCTTGGTAATGTCGACCAGCTTCTTGCCGTCGAACTCCTTCAGCTGAGTGAAGGCGTACTCGTCAATCGGGTCAACCAGGAACAGGACCTCGAAGTTCTTCTGCTTGAGCGTGTCGAGGAACGGAGAACGGGAAACAGCCTTGAGGGACTCGCCGGTGATGTAGTAGATCTGCTTCTGGTTCTCCTGCATGCGGGTGACGTAGTCGGTGAGCGAGGTGGTCTCGTCACCAGACTTGGTCGAGTTGAAGCGCAGCAGCTTGGCCAGAGCCTGGCGGTTCTGAGCATCCTCGTGGATACCCAGCTTGATGTTCTTGCTGAAGGCGTTGTAGAACTTGTCGAACTGCTCGCGGTCCTCGGCGATCTCGTTGAAGAGCTCGAGGGTCTTCTTGACAATGTTCTTCTTGATGACCTTCATGATCTTGTTCTGCTGCAGGGTCTCACGAGACAGGTTGAGAGGCAGGTCCTCAGAGTCGACCACACCCTTGATGAAGCCGAGCCACTCGGGAATGAGGTCGGTGGCGTCGTCGGTGATAAAGACACGGCGGACGTACAGCTTGATGTTGTTCTTTTGCTTCTTGGTCTCGAAGAGGTCGAAGGGAGCGCGCTTGGGAACGAAGAGGATGGCGCGGAACTCGAGCTGACCCTCGACGGAGAAGTGCTTGACGGCGAGGTGGTCCTCCCAGTCGTTGGAGAGGGACTTGTAGAAGGAGGCATACTCCTCCTGGGTGATGTCGGCGGGGTTGCGAGTCCAGATGGGCTTGGTCTTGTTGAGCTCCTCCTCCTCGATCTTGGACTCCTTGATCTTCTTGGTCTTCTTCTCCTTCTTCTTCTCCTCCTCCTCCTCTTCGTCGACCTCCTCAATCTTGGCCTTCTTCTCCTCGCCTTCCTCCTCCTCTTTCTTCTCCTCGGCCTCCTCGTCGGGAACCTCTTTCTCGGTCTCCTTGAGGACGTGGAGGTAGATGGGGTAGGAAATGAACTCGGAGTGCTTCTTGACGACCTCCTTGATCTTGCTCTCGTTCAGGTAGTCGGTCTGCTCATCCTTCAGGTGCAGGACCATCTTGGTACCGCGGCCCAGAGGCTCACCGTTGAGGTCGGGGGTGAGGGTGAAGGTACCACCGGCGCTGGACTCCCAGATGTACTGGTCGTCATCGTTGTGCTTGGAGATGACGGTGACCTTGTCCGCCACCAGGTAGGCCGAGTAGAAACCGACACCGAACTGGCCGATCATGGAGATATCAGCACCAGCAGAGAGGGCCTCCATGAACTGCTTGGTGCCAGAGCGGGCAATGGTACCCAGGTTGTTGATCAGATCCTAGCTTGGTATTAGCGTCCGGTTCGATATTGTTCCAATTGCTGTGGACAAGTACTTACCGCCTTGGTCATACCAATACCAGTGTCGCGGATGGTGATGGTCTTGGCCTCCTTGTCGGGGATGATGTCGATGCGGAGGTCCTTGCCCGTGTCGAGCTTGGACGGGTCCGACAGGGCCTCATAGCGGATCTTGTCGAGGGCATCGGAGGCGTTGGAGATCAGCTCTCGCAGGAAGATCTCCTTGTTGGAGTAGACGGTGTTGATGATCAGAGACAGCAGCTGAGAGATCTCAGCCTGGAACTCGAAGGTCTCGGAGGCCATGGCTGTAGTGTGAGGGAGAAAAGGGTATCCTAAGAGTGCAGGGTCAGAAACTGAGAGCGCAGCAGCAAGCGAGGAATTGCAGCGCCTTTTAAGAGCTGCAGGCGGCGAACAGTCACCGGAGCGCGGCGACCCAGTGGGCACTTACAGATAGAAGGATCGAGGGGATTCAGGAAAATGAAAGGAAGAATCACGAGACAACCAGAAACTTTTGAATCAAAGTGCTGGTCCGAAGAGCAAGAAACAGTCAGTAGTAGGCAGAGGGAGGAATGTGGGAGAGACTGAGGAGAGAAAAAAGTGAGGGAGGAAGAAGAGCAGGAGGAGCTTCCTGGTCTTTCATAAGGCGGTCGCAGAGCAGCCGCAGCGGCGGGCGTTTCTACAGAAATCCAGCAACTTCCACGCTCTCCGCCATCCGCTAAGCCCGATCGGGCCAGTTCGCAGGCGCCTTCAAGGTTCGCCTTCTGCGCTCGCTCGCTCCGCCCCGGGTGCGCTGCGGTGCCACAGCTGCTGCGTTTTTGCCTCTCCCGTTGGCCGTTCGGTCGTTTTTTCTGCTCTGTTCACTGCTTGCCAGCTGCAAGCCTGCGTCCTGATTCGCTCCGGACAGGTCACCTGTGCTTGGAGACGCTGGCCACATCGATCCCTCCACTAGCCCCTCCTGCTGGCGATTCCTCCCCTCGGTGCTGCCCTCCCATCTAGAACGTTCCGCTCCACCTGCCACCGACGGAACCAGTGACCGGCGCCCGGGAAACCAGCCCAACAGATCCCTTCAGAATTTTCTAGCTAAGCGTCTGCTCTCCTTTTCGTGTGCAGGTAGGGCAGGCAGGTCACTGACCTGTATTCACGGCCTAGCAGCATAGGGCTTGCTTGAAAACCATTGACTTCCGTTTTCGCACATGTCACGTGCTTGCGAGAATCGTGAACACACTGCATCTTAAATAATATCCTAGTAAGGAATACGGAGTAAGGCAAGAATTATACGGCCCACGGAAGGGAATTCGAGTGCGGATGACAGAGCTACCTAAAATATGGAGTACGGAAAAGAAGATATAGTCGATAGTCGATAGTCGATATAGGTGGGGAGCCTGTCGAGACAGACATGTAGTACAGACTATTATAAGAAAGTAGCACAAATATTTATCTTCTGCCAAGCGTAATTACGACTGCATTGAAAGAAGCTGCTAGCCAGAATCCCTCCATTCATTCACTCATTCTTTTCAATAATAAGAATAATGTGACAGGTCTCACCCGCAATACTATACCTATAGTACAGAGTATAGTATCAATTATGCAGCCGTGCAGACGAACACACAAAACTAAAATTAAATCAGATCCCTCCTTAGATTGCCTAGACGTGGCGGCGATTATTTGCCCGAACCCCAAGGCTGCTGCTGCTGCTGCTGCTGCTGGGCAACAGCCAATCGGACCGATTATGCGGCCGCAGAGGTACCTAACCACCACCAAGTTCCTTTCCAATTCCAGCTACAGAATAAATAATACAAACCAAGCATTATTATTATTATTGCAGGTTCTTCGCAAAAGATGCTTACTTGGTCTTTTATGCTAAGGATTCTGTTTTTTTTTTTATATCCCTTTCTACGGAGTAGGTACTATCTACAAAGGCACGTGATACTGTTCAAAAACGGAAATTACTTTTTTATAGTAGACGAGCTCCGTTCATTTAAAACAAGCTCTGAATTCGTTTTATCTGACTATCGGGATTGCTAGTAGAAACAGAGCTATCTAGTAGCAGGTCTCTATCCTAGCTGCTAATATACTGCTCTCCTTTTTCTCGCTTGGGTTCTGCGCTTGGACAAATGCAGAACACGGCAGAAGATAACAAAAATCCAGGACACAATGAAAATGGGAGGGAGCGCCCATGGAGCGGTGAGGTGGAGAAAAGGGTAAGGGAGGGGTGAAAATTATTAACCAAATATCGCCTGTCATACGCCGCATTCATGATCGTGAGAAGTATTATAGGGTAGTAAGAAGAAGAAAAGATCGTCAAGGGAGATCGTAAGAGGTGGAATGGCAAGAAATCGGCGCATATCGTGCCAGTTCTTGACCACTTATGACGGAAACGCGCAAACGAAGGACAAACTTTCGCAACGCCATGGAATGCTGCCTTACCCCAATCCAATGCAGGTGATTAAGATGCGCGGCCGATTCATCCTGATCATGCTGATCACTTTTTGTAGGTACTCACGCAACAACGTAGTTGTACAGTACAGTACAAGGGGATCCTGTCCTGCCAGAGTTCTAGTGTCCAGTGCTGAACCAGTTAAACCGCCATTCGGAAAGGTTCTGGGACGGTAGACACCAGAACTTTGCGAGCCAGAGGGCCAGCCCTCCGACCACTCCAAAGCTGCCCACGACCTGGAGGATAATCCATCCCCGTCGCCGGAGATCGTCATTCCACTGTACCAGCCCGAGCGGATCGTGGGGACTCAGGCTGGCAAGACGGTACTGCCCGTGCTGCCCACTGGAGGTCCGCACCACAACGCCTCCAGTCTTCTTGTCCGATTCAAGAGACCAGCCGGGGAAGCCCGGCGTTTGCGTGATTGGAACGAGGGTGCCATCGACAACACATTCGCTCAGTCGTTCCGTCAACCATTACCGCCCGCTCTCCTCGTGCCAGAGCAGCGTATCTCTCGCGCTCGTTTTGAAGACTCTGCTGGAGGTCGGCTGCCCACTTGGCCAGCCGCGCTTGGGCCAGCTTCTCTTCCCGTTGGGTATAGTCCGCGACGCGGGCCATGGTGTAGCTGGAAGAGCCATCCACTGGGTACGAAGTCACAACGTGGGGGACGGAGCCCTGAGGGGAGGTCGAGCCACCAGGGCTCGTGGAGCCACGGAGCAACGTACTTGGCCCAACCGCGTAACGCTGTTGCGTCGAGAGATCCCGACTCTGCATCAACTTCCTAGCCGCCGAATGCCGCAGCCAGGCCATGTTATCACGATCAAACAGCTTCTCGATCAGGGTCTGGAGCTCGGAAGGGACCAATGGCTGTACGTAGTCCGGGCTCATCAGAATGCTAGCATCCATATTTTCGTCATCGCTTGATTTAGCTGAAGAGACCGCAAACGGTGGCTGAGAAGCAAGACTATCTTGTTCTTGCCATGGCGTCTCTCCAAACAGAAAAGGTCGAACGCCCGCTTTCTGGATCTCTGCGTGGAAGGCTCTCTTCAAGGAATCGATCTGAGAAGGAGACAACAAGTCTGCCTTCGAGATCAGAGGGATAACATTGCTCAGCTCACAGAGCTTGCTAATGCAATCGATATCCGTAGCAAGAGTGTCTGCACCGTATCGAAGCTGATTAGAACCGCGAGGATCACGAATAGACGACGGTAGAGACCATACCTTCAGAAATGAGGTAGAGAACGGCGTCCACTTGGGAGCCGCCATTCCCACCCAGCAGGTTCTGCAGATCGTTGTTGGACGTCTTGACAGCCTCCACCGCACGGGCGAGCTGCTGCCTCATGTACTGCGCAATCGCATGAGTCTGGACCGTTCGACTCACCGAGGATCCCGGGGTATCGACGAAGCAAAGGTTCCTCTCCAGCACAACCTCACCCGTGCTTTTTCGCCGTCGAAGGACGCGGGAATCTTCGAGGTCGGACCACCATGAAGGATAGGGCTTGGTGCTCGCGTAGATTTCGGAGAGGGTTACCGTGCTGGGAGCGTGCTTTGGTCCAGACCTGGACCGCGATCGTGAGGCTTCGGAAGAGCGAGGTTGCTCCATCGGGTCAACGTGAACGATGTCTTCGCAGGCTTGGACGATCGACTTGATCAAGGACGATTTCCCGGAACCTAGCCTCATCAGTCAATGCCTTAACGCCTCATGCGTCCGTATGTTTGAGGCTAAACACTTACCCGCCGCCCCAGCCACCAGGATCTTGAACCGGCCAAAGCTCTTCCCCCGTTCTGTGAAAGGTCGCCTGCTGGGCATGCGAATACTGGGCATGATCAGTTGGGACGCGCTATCGTGGACTGGTTCCGGAGGTTCGAGGGGTTCCTCCTCCTCTCCTCCGGACGCAATTGCCTGGCTGCTGATCTCATCCGTGATGGAGATATCGTCCAGGTGTTTGAGCGACCGCGTCGAGGTTGACTTGGGGCTGCTGGGCAGGGATAAAGGGTCCTCGGGCGAAGCGGCATCGATGGGAGAGAGCGAACGGGAGGAGGGACCGACGTTTGGGGAGATTCGCACATGTGCACTCGGCGAGAAGGCGTCTATCCTCTCGTCATGTTGGAGGAGATCGGATGGCTTAAGGGTGGATCTCCGCTGAGCGGGGGCAGACAAGTCGGTATCATCACTTGCGTCTCTGGGACCGTCCGGGATCGAGCCGGGACTGTCGACACTGCCGATGGTCTCCTCCAGACTTTGGACGCCGTACATGCTGTCCCGCGAGGAAGGGGATTCGGTGGCAGATGCGTCATCTCCGTCAGGCTCGCGGGCGAGGAAGAAGGTCGTGGGGGCAGCAGCCTGATTATCGGACCAGGGCGGAACGGCATGCTCGGCGAAGGAAGGCTTGCGAGGAGGGGACGGGAGGACGTCAGGCACGGCCGGACGCATGGCTGCAGGCGACGTGCTGTTATAGGAGGGTCATCGAAAGCAGATGCAGCTCGCACCTGAGACAGAGAGGGCGAAGACGAAGGCGCAGGCAGACGGCGGGAGAAGCAGGACGGAGTGGTTATCGCTATCAACGGCTATCGGGCGTCATTGTCCATGAGCAGCAGCTGACTCGCTTGACCCCGCGTCTGGCGCGGACGTTGATCCGCCGGGCGGCCTGGCAGCCTGAGGCCGCTGTTTGCCTGGTTTGCAGTGGCCGTTGCTAACCTGCTGCCGGAGAAGCCAGCCGAAGATGATCGCGATCCTCTGCACCGATCTCCGGTCCCGCTGCGTCCTATTTTTATTATTCATCCCAGTCCGTAACCGGAAGTCCTGGGCCTCGACAGCGTCCTGCACAATAAAGTAGGTGTGCCTGCTGGCCTCTGCAGTGTGACGCATGTTGCTCCTTGTGGTCGCTGCACGCTGAAGGAGCTGGCTGAGTCAGCTCCCCCAGTCCGCCCCGTGACCGCCCCGGACTGGCAGTCCGTCCTCTCCCCTCCCTCTCCCACCCAGAGAGGCAGCCTCGAAGTGGCTCAGATGACGGTCTTTTTTTTTTCTTTAGTTTTTAGCCATGCCGTAACAGCCTCGGCCAGGATTACTCTGACTGCAGAAGAAGGACCTGCAGGTAGGTGTGGCGTTGACCTGAGCTTCCCCACCAGGCCCATGCTTATCGAGCGGCGTTATCGAGCCGCTGGCCTTTGCTGAAGGACCGCCTTAGCCGCTACTGGCGCTGCGAAGTCGAATCTCCCCCAGTCCGCGGATTTTCCCGAAAATGACTTCCAAGGCAGGCCTGCTCGCAACAAAATTTTCGCTGCTTCTGGAACCATGGCACCCCCTCCAGCGTTTCTCCACCCTCCCCTTTCGTCTTTTTTTTCCTGGCCGCCTGTATGGAGTACACCCACAGGAATATTCGTCTGTGGGAGGAACACTCCGTCCCCAGTTAGGTACCTGCCTAGGTAGGCAGGTATGTGCACACGTTCCCGCGGCTCGCGGGACAGAATGATAAAAAAAATTAACAAAATTCATTTTTATTGTCTTATACAGAGTACCATGGTTTACTCTGGCGGGAAAGTCTGATGGCTCGTACTAGCCGCCTACTTAAGATGACGGAGGACGATTAGCCTCCAGCGTCGTCGAGCAGCGATCACTGGGTGGCGTTGGCAGAACCCCCTGAGGTAGAAGACGCCAGGGCCGCTCGAGCAGTCCCAGCAGCAGCAGGCAGAGCTCTCTGGGTCTTCCAATCCGCGTCCTGCCAGAGCTCTGCGTCGTCTGCTGATTTGCCGGCGCGCGCAGGCCAGTGCTGCGATCGGTCCCAGGGTTTGGGAGCGCACTGCCTGGGCCGAGCAAATCGACGGCGACTGACGGGCTCTGAGGGGGCCTTGCTCAGCGCCTGCTGGCCCATGCCGAGTATAACCAACGCAACTAACTCGCCGTAGTTAATAACCGGACCGCGTCCCAGCTTCCCTTCCCGTCGCCCACCTCGCTGGTTGGTAGCTGGGCCTGCCCACCGTCAGCGACCGACAGCAACACAAAGTCGCTCGCTCTCTCCTCTCGTCTTCACATTCATCTCAATACCACCATCGATCGCCTTCCAGTGACTGGCAATTCTGATCCCGAACGCGCGCATCATGGACAGCAGACCTGCGTTCTGAACCGCCGCCCACCGTTGACGCCGCAGTGCCACCTGCGGCACCCAATTCCATCTCGCCGAACGGGACGAGTTTTGTCACGACGGAACCGGCCTCAGCTCTCGCCCTGCTGCACCACGCTTCCCTGCCATTGCGCTCCCCCATCGTCGTCCATCATGACAATGGATCACGACGCGTCCATCTCGTGGTCGGAGCCCCTTCCGGAGGAGTCGCTCATGTCCACCGCCAACGAAGATGAGTTCTCCAACTTCCTGGAATTCGGCATCAATTTCCCCGATCTGGAGGGGCACGGCTCGGCGCCGCCTCAACATCAGCGCACCATGCAGAATGCCGATAACCACATCCCTGCCTCCATGGCCGACGATAGCGTCAATCGGATGGACACCGACCCGACGACGCAGCCGCCGCAGTATGCCTCCATGGTCGGGGATCATGTTGCCATGAACCTGCACGACAACGCTCAGGCCCAAAGCCAAGCATTCCACTTCTCCCACGAACAGCAGCATCAGCAACACCAGCATCCTGCACCCCAGCACGAACAACACCCGCATCACCCTCCGAAGCAAACTCCGCAAGAGCATGCTGCCAACCACAACTTCTCTCATGGCCAGCACGTAATTCCCCCGACCCCGAATAGCATCGAGCTCCATGGTGGTGCAGCCCGGTATCCTCAGCGCGTCGAATCGGGCCATGACATGTACGATCGCTACGGGCAGATGAATGAGGACCAGGTAAGGCGAATTGTTCCGGATTCAATGGCTATCTGAGAGCACTTGTGGCTAATTGACCACCTCCGCAGACGGCCTTCTACACCCCTCTCGTCTCTCCCGCCATGACACCCTTAGAGACGCAATTCCGTATGCCCGAATATACAATTCCTGGCGAATACTTTACCCCTCTCACCTCGCCCGCTTTGGAAGCCCAAAACTCCAACCCCAATGGCTACTCCTTTCAGACGACGCAGCCCCCAAGCGGTGGCTATGTGCAGTCGCCCGTCGATGCCAATGCCACATCCGCACCATCTTCCCCCGGTGTTCTCAGAAAACAGCGGCGTCGTCCGTCCATCGCCACAAGAACGCCGGGACGGGCGGCTAAGGCGTCTCCCTCCATCCAGCCCAAGAACCGGCGGAAGCAGGCTGTGAGTGCACAGCTCGCAGATGACGTCGCCCAGGCTCTCAGTCAGGACCAGACTGGCAGTCGTCCAACCACCAGTGGAGCCAGTTCGCTCCGTTATGACAGCCATGAGAGTTCGGGTCAGGATTCTGTATCTCCGGAGCCCATCTCGGAGCCGTTGATGCCTCCACCCGCGCTGCCGCCGACCCGCAAGTCGCCGGCCATGGGACCGCAGATCACCCAGCCCAGGACGAGCGAACCTGCAACCCCGGCGACGCTGATGCGGATCCAGAACCGGCAGCACATGCAAGATCCGTCCGGTCAATTCTCGGGGTACGCAGGCATGGTTACCAGCCAACCCCAGGATGAGCCGATGGAGGATGTCCAGCTTCCAGAAGCGGTGACGGATACGAGACCCCAAGTGAGTCGCATCGATACGTCGGTCAATAATACAACCGGGCAGGTGCCTCCAGCATCTTCTTCCAAGTCCACGCCCTCCGTGGAGCCCAAGTCGGCTTCCGAAAAACCGCCGTCTGGATCCGTGACGCCGAGTCCTCACCAGGGAGCTATGGCCTCACCGAGTGGACCGGTTCCCAAGAAGTCGGAGACGAAGGCTCCAGTGAGTCGAAAGCGACAGAGCGTCAGTTCTCATATCAGTCCAGCTCTACGGCCTCGGATAAGCCCCAGCATTCAGCCTTTGGTGCGCGGTGATAGTAAGTCTCACCTTAACCTCTTTTCTGTTCTCTATTGTTATACTAACACAATATGTTTGCAGCCGGTATGTCGAGCGAGACTTCGGCGTTATATCTGGCTTCCAAATCGAACTATCAGCATATCTTGGATGGCACTGTGTTGCCTGGTGTCACGTATCCCGAGACGCTGGCCGAGAACCTGAGCTCGAAACGCACCAATCACAAACTGGCGGAACAGGGTCGGAGAAATCGTATCAACACCGCTCTCAAAGAGATCGAATCGCTTCTACCGCCCGGTTTTGCCCAGGAGAGGCTCAGCCAGCGGAACGAAGCCAAAGGCGATGGCCAGGGAACCCCAAACACGAAGAATGGGGAAAAGGAGAAAGAAAAGAGTACCCATCAGACGATCAGCAAGGCCAGCACGGTGGAGCTGGCTATTGACTACATCAAGTTGCTGAAGAAGGAACTGGAGGAGACGAAGGCCCAGCTCAAGGCTGCAGAATCGAAACTAGCCGGGAAACCCGCCGACGGTGCGGATACGGAGAGCAAGACGGGGCCTGGAACCGGCAGTGAGGCAGATGCAGAGGCAGAGGCAGAGGCAAAAGAGCCCAACGCCACATCGACGCCTGTGGAAACGACGACAGCGTGACTGAATTTGGAGTCAGATTTGATGTGATGACATTTGACGATGTATGAAGCTGGGATCCACGGATACACGGTGAGACAATGGGAGCGATTCGGCTTGGGACTGGGAAAGAGATCATGTTCTTTTTTTTTTCTTTTTTAACTATCGAGTGTTTCAAGTCAATCTGTTTTCTTGTTCTCCCGACCTTTGTTGTCGGAGACTAATATGTCGTGGGTTGTTACTCTGCCAGGTTCCTGTATGCTGCGTTCCGGCCCTGAACGCTCTTTTTGTCCCTGGCTCTGATGGGTTCTTCTTTTTTTTTTTACCTGATAATTGCTATACACCGGTTGCATGATATTTGTGTGTGGTTGAGGCGTCTTGGATCTGATCTGTTGATACTCCGTTTTTCCTCATTGCTATTCCCATGTTCTTTGTCTTTTTTGTTCCAAGGAACGGATTCGCATGTTCTTTTTTTCTCTATATATCTATCCAGGGCGGCTCTTGTGAAACAAATCTATCCAATTCATGCAATTTTGTAAACAAATGAATATGAGCAAAAACTGTTCTCGAAAACTTGCTTCGCAAGTATATAAACTGAAAACAAAAAACAAACCAAAAACAACACAAAATACCAGGGACTCCATGCAAACCAAACCAGTCTAGTTCTTCCGACATATCCACAAAAATCCAGAAAACCTGGTCATTCATGACTGAACAGCACTTTTTGTAATCAACCAACCTGAGAAATCAACTTGGGTAATCAACCTTTCTATGCACAACACACGGGTTAAAAAACGAAGAACCAATAATGGATGATGGATGCAAGCAAAGAGTAAAAAAATGGGGTATCTGTGCTGGTGTGATCGTGTCAATCTATCAATGTGTTTCTATGTGTAAATGATATGTCCTTGGGAGAAAAGAAGAAGTCCCCGTGACCACCGCGGGGGTGGACAGGTGACTTGGTAACGTGCCAACTCGACTCGCCTTTTTCTCTGCGCGCCATGATGCACTGGATGAACAACATCGTGAACTCGACCAATCAGTCGTGTTTTTTTTTCGAGGCCTTTCATCAGGGTGGATGCATCATTGATCGATAGGTAGTGTTTTTTTTTTAGTTGGACGCCTTCTGCGCCTCCGCCGCCTTTTTGTTTTTGAGCCTTTGAGCCCTCTCCAGCCGCCATGAAGCACCGTACTTCAGCTCAATGAGAAGCAGCGGCGAGAAGACGGCCGTGATTCCGGCCAGCAGGAGGAAGGTGTATTTGGGCGTGAGGGCCTCGATCATGGGCTCGACGACGGCCACACCGGCCGCGCCGACGGAGCAGCGCATCAGGTTGTTGACGGCCGTGGCGCTGGCGCTCTTGCCCGGGTACAGGTCGATGACCAGGGCGCTGTTGACGCTGAAGACGGAAGTCGCGGCGAACGCGATCAGGTACTGCAGGATGACGGGCGCGGCGAGATGCGTCTCAAGCGAGAAGCCGTACGCCGTCGTCGCCGCCACGAAGATCAGGATGATCCACCAGTTGTTGCGCAGCCGTGCGTATTCGATGGGGAAGTCCTCGTGCGACTTGGTGTTGATGCGCGTCTCGGTTGGGAGGCCGTGGCTCTTGCAGTATTCCACCTCTGTCCGGCGGTGGTCGCGGTCCATCAGCCATCCGGTCGCGAATGAGCCTGACATACATCCGGCACCTGTTTGGGTCAAAAACATGTCAGATTGATGTTACAATGATTGACTCGTTCGAGTGACGCGTTAGACACTTACCATTGGCCAGGAACGTGAGACCAATCTCGAGCGAGTTGAGGTTGTACACATCCTGGAACAGGCCCGTCGTACTCGATGTCACCATACTCCAGACGGTGTACACGATGCTACCGAAGAAGAGCGTGATGAACACGTCCTTCTCGCTCAGGAAGATCAGTGGCGCAAAGATGGTGGACAGTTTCACACCAGACCGTTTGCCATCGGGCTGGGCGGCATCGTTGACATTCGGCTGCTCGACGAAGAGATAAATGACCGGCTTGTGAAGCCAGCTGGTGAGACGGACACTGCCATTCCCCGCGATCGAGCGCAGGGTTTCCGGCAGGAATAAGATGATGGTCAGGAGACTGAAGCCTCCAAACGCGGTCAAGAACCAGAAAATCGACGTGTAGCCGCAGAATTGTGTCAGGATACCGCCGAACACGGGGCCGACGGCCTGGCCCAGCATGCGAACTGCCATTTTTGTCAGCGATCACAACTCATAACTCTAAAGAAGTCGTTTTGGACTTACTTCCGCCGAAGGCTCCCACCAGTCCTCCTCTTTCCGCCGATGTCGTGATATCGCCAATCACTCCGGCGCCTGGAGAAGATTTAGCCTGTTGTTCATGACAGCCTCGTAACGGTTGGATCGGAATACTCACCAATGGAAATGGTGGCGGCGCTGCCACCTGCCTGCAGCGCTCGGAATACCATCACTTCCGCATAGTTTTTCGCCACTCCGAGGACGATATTGGCGATGAGGTACACGATAAAAGTTCCGACGAAGATGGGTCTTCTGCCTATGGCGTCTGCCAAGGACCCCCAGAATGATGGAGCGATGCCTTGGACGATCATATACACGGTAATGGTCAAACTGGCCAGGGACATGGACACGTGGAGTTCCTACAGCCATGATTTGTCAGCGATCTGTCATTCCCAAACTTGGAAAATGGTGTGCATCTGTCACTCACCCTGGAGACGTCGCCAAGAGCGGGGAAGTAGATATTGGATGACAGCGGCGAAAACAACGCAGCCAGCGAGACGATGTACACCATCTGCTTCTTACGTGATCGGCTGAACACATGGTACGGCGGTGACTGGGCAGGAGGATCTGGACCCTTTTCGAGATCTTTGGGGGAGGTATCGGGCGTGCATAGCGGTGGAGATTGAAACTCTGGCTCCTTCCGATCCTTGTCCTTGGCGATGTTGACGTTGGTGTTGGAGAGGTTCACGAGCGTCGTGAACGAGGATGCGGAGGAGAATGGGACAGGTGTTGGACTCTGATTTGGAGTTGTTGGAGTTCGTGGAGTCTGGATGTCTCGCTCCATGATCTCTGTGGCTGTGATGTGAAGATCACCTCTCTTGGCAAGATCAACATCCAGGTCTGTCTGAGGCATGATATGATTGTTCTCCTCGTGCTCAGTATTGGATATCCGGAAAATTCTAATGCTCGCTTGGAGGAAGAAACTTGAGACGGAAAAAAGGAAGGGATGATCTTATGCTTGCCAAGGGATTGTACTCTGTATATATTCTCGGAGGGGGACCAGGGAGTCACAACCATCGCCAGGCATTTAGGCTGCCCTCGCTAACGTCCGGGTGTACCTTAGATCGATCGGAACACCCAGTGTTCCACGGCCCGGTGTCTATCATTCCTTACAAGAAAAGCAAAGTCAAGACCCAAGACGACCAGACAGCCTCGTGGGGGTGGTGTGTCTCCACAGTGGGTTCCTGGTGCATGAAGGACGGTTTAATACAAGTCTGCTCCTGCTACTACTCCGTATACAGAAGTACGACCACCATGCAGCCGTCGACTTAGGTACCGCTGCAGACCAGGGTGAAACGGGCCCCATTCTTTCGGATCTACATGATGAAGCATCTGTTTATTGTGATTCGCTAGAAGGCTGGAATCACCCCCAATTCCTTCAACGAGAACCCAGACGGGTAGGTCTTCCATCTTCCTAACGCTCTACCCTTGTCGCTTCGTTCAAATGCGACAAAAATTATGATTCTCCCATGTGATATGATACACAGTAGGCCTTTATTTTCCCCTGTTTTTTTCTATTTTTATGCGCAGCGACTTCGTTGCGTCACGACGCTGAGACTCAACCATGGAACCTGGTATGGCTGCCTAGTTTGGACAGGTCCATTGGCGACTTTGCCAGAAAGGGCACTACGGCCAGCGGTCAGACCTGGTCGCCTATCGCTATTAGAATAGTTTGGCATAGGGGTGGCTTGACGCTGGAGGTGTCGCGGCCAAGAAGGCATGTACGGGCACCAAACGGGCGATCACGGCGGTGGGTCTGTAGTCGTCAGTTCGTGGCCGCTCTCAGCGCCATTATTTGCCCTAGCAGATGATCTACAAGTAGTCTCTGCCCCGTTCGGGTTCTCGAAGCGGATGATCTGCGCCGGCAGACCCGGCGCCAGGGTTACGCTTCTTGCCGTCCAACAGTGTGCTTGGAACCCCTGGCCGCACGCCCTCGAGGCCTAAACACAGGTCAAGCTCGTCCAGCCCTCCGTTTGCCATCTGCCATCTGCCGTCTGCCGCTGCTGCGGAATTGCTGGCGGAGAACGGCAGAGTCGAGACAGACGTCGTGGAATTTCTCGCGAACCGGCCTTCTCCAACCGACCACCCAGACGCAGGACGAGATCTCACCCACGTGTCGGAGGCTGCTCCCCTTGATCGATTCGGTCGTCCAGGGCTCACGGCACCTCCCTGCTCCTATTGTTTCCGCCATGGCGCCGCCAAGCCGATGCTAAGCCTTCTGCCTCCGCCATGCGCCATATCCAGCGTCTTTGACTCGCCCAGCTGCGTCAAACCCCCATCGTTAGACTCGTTGTTGACTGCCAAGAATGCGCGCCTGGAATTCCTTCTGATAAGACAGCCCAACGCTCTTACAAATTCACGATTCGAGTTGCGGACTATTGGGCCGCTAGACTGCCAAGAATGCCAAGTTGCCGAGGGACGCGCAAGACGATGATGAGCTTGTCCACACGCCGATGTTGACGAGCTTGAGGCAGATCTCACTTTCAGGAAGAAAGAAAAGCCCTCTCACGAGGACGGTGGTATCGCCCCCGATTGCGTGACTGACGCTTCTCCTTGCCTACTGCTATCATGCCGATGACGTGACCCGCCACCAGCAGCCAGCCCTGTTTCTTTCTTTCGTTTTTCGTTTGTTCGACAATGTTGTTGAAAAACGACGACGTGCATGAATTTGGGTGACAGACAGCCTGGGATCTTGCAGCTCGCTCCGCTTCGTCCCGGCCAACTTTCCCAAATTGTTAAGATCTTGTCTTGGCGAAGAATTAATAATCACCATGATCAAAATTCAATTTTTTAACAATATCTTCTTTCGTCATTTTCTATTCATGCAGGTGTGGTTGCAACCGTGCATCGGAAGGGATTCCGTATGCGTTGTGTGTATCCACTTGCGATGGGCGACCGGCCAGTGGAGTTGGGCTTCAATGATGACAGTTGCATTAGTTTATGAAGTATATTTATTATATTTATTATTAATTATGAAGACTCATTTTCTAGGTTGCATCGAATGTTCATGGAACTGCAGAAAAAAGAGCTTACTTCCTGCCGAGAAACTGCTATCTGCTGGCCAAGACCTGACGCCATCCTACAGAGGAACTCTTATCTTCTAGCAAAAGAATAGTATCTTCAAGCCAAGAGGGCGAAAAATTCAGCATCGACTACTCGAGACTCCAAGATCATCTTGGCCTTTGCAGCCCAAATTCCCTCTGTTTGGGCAGGTTTCATTGTCCTATCCAGCGCTGCGACCAGAGACCGAACGTTGTCTTCACGTTAATGATGATCGCCGGTTCTGGCCACCAATTGCTGTCATCCTTGCTACCGGCCAGCCCGTCTCGAGAGGCCAAAGCACGAGGGCACGCGCCGCACTCTGGTTGTACAGCGTGGGATGGACTGCCCTTGTGTCTGAGAAAAATGGAGTCTGGAGTCTCGACTTGCTGCCCCTCGTCTTGTTATCAATCCAAGCCGGCCCGCGGTGGAGCCGGTCATGAAAATCAGATCCAGAATCCAGAATTTGCTCCGAGAGGAGAAATTCAAAGTCAAAACAGGCTGTGGAGGTTAAGACAAAAGACTGGCGACCGGCGTATCGGCAGGCCGCGTCCAGGCCCGCTCCCGACCGGCAGCCACGGCAGCCACAACTCGGTCGGTTCGTTGCACCCTAAGCGAGACGAGACGGACGGGCCGGCGGAGATTTTGTTTTCGTGGATTTCTTTTATTTTTTGCGGGATACTCCGTATTCTTCTTGGCAAGAAGCTTAGTCTCGGGTGCGTGATCGATCTGAGTGTCTCCATTGGGCGGACGCCAGAGTCAAACGTTGGCGATAAGGCCCGGATTGACATGGGTGTCCGACAACCCTAAGGCGATCAAGATGTTGCAACTTGCAGCTACCCGAGATGTCGTATGTGTATCAGAGGATGATGACAGAGTGGTGGTTGGCTGAAATTTTCCGCGAGCGTGTAGCAAGATGCATGTAATACATGGACCTGCAATGCCAACAGCGTGTGCCTGCATTGCGCGACATTGCTTGCCGTCGAAGCTGATACTTTAATTTCGGAATAAAGCATCAAAGAAGAGGCATGCTTCTTATGTTAGATAGTCTGATAACCCTGTTGTCAGCTGGCAATACTTTGTACTGTACATGCAACCGCGGCAGCGATGCAACGCAGCAACGGTATTCTGATCGTGTTGACCACGATCTGCAGCCAATTTCCAGACACCAATGGAGAGCCGGGCCGTGCGCACAGACACCCAGACTAATTAGCACGAAGATAAATATAGCCTAGTCCTGTGTCGGACTCGTCTGTGTACAGAGCACCGTAGTGACCGTACAACCAGCCGACGGAAATCTAGCCCGCCGACTGCTCTGTGGAACTCTGGAACTGGCGCGAAGCGAGGACCTACCTAACGAAAGGGGTCTGTCTAATCGAAGGCCTCAGTGGTTACCTTACCTTAGGTACCTGTAGGGAAGGGAAGGTTAGGGCGAATGGAACCGAACCGCGGGATCTGCAGCTGGCCGGCATTCCCGGCTGGGTCTAGTGCGCTTTGGGACTAGTGGCCGTCGCTGGGGGAGTTTATTTTGATGCAGGGAATACAGCCTGTACGGAGTACAGGTATTTCGATGGTATTAATAAAGTCAATGTCAGGATGGTGTGACAAGTTGACAACAGTTGTGGCATTGATATTGACACGATGACATACATACATACAGTACATAAAACACATTGTATACATAAATAGCTAATAATCATCCCATCAAATCCCCACAGACCGACCAGTCCAATCCCAAAAATATGACTGACCAGGAAGGAGATGAATGAATCAGAAAGAATCTCTGCAATCGGTGGATATTAATCCTACTGGAATTGAACTAATTGAATTGATTTACCCTCGGCAAGAAACAAATCAAGTCAGGTACTGTACAGTACATACAGTTCGGTAGGTAAGGTCCATTCGCATGAATAATATCTTTCCGCTGATTGGATGGATGGTTGGCCCCGTCAATCTGTAGTACTGTATTAATGTAGTACTGTAGTATTGCATGTGCTGTTGTGCCGAGGATGATGGACAGTACCATTTTCCTTGTTTGGCTATCACTCTTGTTTGTAGTGACTGATTTGGTTCAGACGTGGGGCATGATATCAGCTGAAGTATGAGCAGAAGTATGAGCGTGAGCAGGAGGAGGAGGAGATACTGCTTTGCTTGTGTTTACTTTTCTTTTCTTTGCTTTGCTTTGGTTTGCTTTTCTTCTGTGGAGTGGTGTGTATGATGTATAATGTATACCTAAGTTGAGATCTATTTCTTTTTTTTTTTTTTCTGTTTCTTTTTCTTGCCGTCGTTGTTGTTATTGTTATTATTGTTGTCACTATGATTGTCATTATTGTATTATCCTGTTCAGTCCCTCATTTTACCTGCCTTTTTTGGAACATCTGGACTTGTCTTGACTTGATTGGACTTGACTGGACAATACCTACCTAGGTAGGAGGTCAACCTCCAACCCAACCAAACCTCTCCGGTTCTGTTTCTGAGCGGTTCTGGACCATTCGCTCATTTATTTATTCAATGAAGTGGACAATGCTTCCAGTATGGATAATTCTATTATAATAATGATGAGCAAGGATCTGCAGATAACAGATCAGCAGATAACGGATCGTGATCAATCAGGCTTATGCATGCCATGCATGGTCTTCCGTCGTTCCGTCCGTCCATCCAGACATTGATCATCAATGGATTAATCAGTCAGTCAGTCAGTCAGTCAATTGACTAAAGTGGACCACTGTACGGTTTGGCTCGTGG